GGTAAGGCCCTCTAGGAAATGCAGCCTCCCTGTGAGATGGACTCCATGCTCCCCAATCTAACCTGGATGCGGTTTAATTCAGATAAATAAACATGGAGTTTAATCCAGCCTCAATGGAAAAGAAAAAAGAAAAAACTTTGCAACTGGCTGAGGTGAATCTCATGATTTTACCTTAATATCTTAGCTATGCCAGGGGACTCCTGGAAAAACCCTTTGGTGTTGTTCTTGGCACTGACCAGTGTGACTCACCCCAAAGCTATGGAGCATCTGCTCATTTCATAAGCACTTTTGCGTCTGCCTTTTATATACACAGCTGGGGACAATTTCTCCTTTTCCATTTAGTGCTGCATCTTTTCATCACAAGCTATTAGCCTTGTTGTTTTGATTGCTTCGGGGACAAGGACATGCAATTCTTTTAATACTTATACTTCCAGCACCATCACAACCGAAAGCTTTCGTCAGATGCCCCCAAACAGCAGAAATGTCCCTTTCATCAAATGCTCCAAAGTGGCATTGGAGTAATACTGTGATTAAGGCCAATTAAAATGCGAGAAAATAGCAAGCAAGCCATCCTGGGGTCTCAAAAACTCTTCCATGGGCTGAATGTTTAGCAAAAGCAAAATAAGAAAAGTGGTGGCAGGGGAAAGAGAGGCAGGAAGGGCCCCTCCAGACATCCTTCTTATTGTGCATTCATGATTATTTGTGCTCACAGTGCTTTTGGGGCAGTCCTATGTGAGCCCGCTTTCAAAACTATTTGCATCTGCAATAGTTTCAGAGCAGGCACACTCCATCCTTCCCAATCAGTGCATGTCCCAGAACTTTCTTCTGAAATACTGTAACTTCTGAAACCACAGATGTTCTGGTTCACTTTCATTCTGCTTCTGTTCTGCTCTAACTCCTGGGGCAGCAATAATGTGGCAACATTGGAGAAGCATTACAGAACGAAGTAAAGCAGAATATATTCAGCACTCAGTCACTATTATTGTGTTGCAGACACAGAAGACAAACTCCAGCCAGGCAAAAACACACAAAGATGGGGCAAGGCAGGGGTGGGGAAGGGTGTGACTGAGGAGGAGGTGTGTCGTAGGAGAGCAATTAAAGACAGTTCCATATGTACAGTTAAAGACAGTTCCAGTGCAGATGTAGACTGGGATAAAGATCTCTGTTTAAAGTGTTGAAAGAGGAAAGGTATTGATTTGGTATTGAAAAGGCCATAGAGATGGTGCTCTTCTAATATTTAACAGGAGAGAATTACAATGGTAGGTGCAACCACACAAAAGGCCTGATTCCTATAATGTACAGTGGTGCCTCAGGTTACAGATGCTTCAGGTTACAGACTCTTCAGGTTACAGACTCTGCTAACCCAGAAATAGTACCTTGGGTTAGGAACTTTGCTTCAGGATGAGAACAGAAATCGTGTGGTGGCAGTGGGAGGCCCCATTAGCTAAAGTGGTACCTCAGGTTAAGAACAGTTTCAGGTTAAGAACGGACCTCCAGAACGAATTAAGTTCATAACCTGAGGTACCACTGTACTGATTGGGCATCCTGATAAGGAAGTATCTTATTAGAGTGCAGTGATTGATTGGGTATATAAGGAATATACCCAAATGTATTACTAATAAGTAATATATATGATTGTGTGAATGTCCACTGACTCTCAATATTCCAGTGCTAAACCACTGTATGCACATTTCTCTCTTTGATTAGATTCTCCCCCTTCCCACAGCCAAAACAAGGAAATGTTTTATTCTAGATACAATGGTACCTCAGGTTACAGGCGCTTCAGGTTACAGATGCTTCAGGTTACAGACTACACTAACCCAGAAATAGCACCTCAGATTAAGAACTTTGCTTCAGGATGAGAACAGAAATCGTGTGTGATGGGAGATATGAATGGAGTGGTATCTACTTACATGGACAAGGCACAAAGACAGGTAGTCACCAAAGATGGTAGACTACCGAAAACCTTTTTTGATATGACAGACAACTTGGATTTAGTGGATATTTGGAGAATTAGAAACCCCTTGGCTAAAGAGGAACTTTCTTTTCTGAAGCCAAAATGACTTGGACAAGAATTGACCAAATTTGGATAACTAGAGGAATGGCACCAAAGACAAGAAAGGTGGAAATCTGCCCGAAAATTTGCTCCGACCATAATGCTGTTAAGATGGAAATGAGACTAACACCAACTGGCTCCTTCAGATGGAAGATGAATGACACCTTATTTAGAGACGAAGAATTTCTTAAGAAGGCCCAAAAAACTCTAAGAGATTACTTCGAGATAAATCTTAGTTCAAACGTGGAGAAAAGAGTAATCTGGGATGCAAGTAAAGCGGTTATGAGAGGGTTCTTAATACAACAGAATGCGATAAAGAAAAGAACTCAAAATGAGAAGAAGGATAAAATTATGAATAAAATGAATGAATGTGAAAAAAGACTGAGAGTAAATCCCAAATCTCAAGAGATTCTGAGAGAGTTAAAGTTATATCAAGTACAATATATGAAAATAATGAATCAGGAAATAGAATGGAAAATTAAACAAATGAGACAAAAGACTTTTGAATCGGCCAATAAATGTGGTAAATTGTTGGCATGGCAAATGAAAAAGAGACAAAAACTAAAGACGATTACGAATTTAGAAGTGGAAGGAAGGAATATACAGAACCCTGCGGAGATTAGAAGGTGTTTCCAGAAGTATTTTAAAAGACTATATACTCAAGGGCCAGTGAAAGAAACAGATTTAGACCAATTTTTGAAAACAAATGGACTACAAAAAAGATCTCAAGAAAATAGACTAATTTTGAATGACAGAATAACTGAACAGGAAATAGAAGGTGCCATTCAAAATATGCAATTGGGTAAATCTCCAGGACCAGACGGCTTGACCTCTAGATACTACAGATCTTTAAAAGAATGGTTAATTCAACCATTGAAAGAGGTCTGCAACGAAATAATGGAGGGGAAGAGGGCACCAGAGTCGTGGAAAGAAGCATATATTACACTTGTACCAAAAACAGAGACTGAAAAGACACAACTTAAGAACTACCGCCCTATATCATTACTTAATGTGGATTACAAAATTTTTGCAGATATTTTGGCGAAGAGATTTAAAAAAGTGCTGTTGGAAGAGATTCATAAAGACCAAGCGGGCTTTCTCCCAGGAAGACATTTGTCTGATAATTTGAGGAATATAATTGATATCTTGGAAAAATTAGAAGTGAATATAAACACTAAAGCAGTGTTGATATTTGTAGACGCGGAGAAAGCTTTTGACAATATTTCTTGGAATTTTATGAAGAAGAATCTACAGGGTATGGGGTAGGCCAAGGTTTTGAGAATGGTATAAGTGCAATTTATTCAGAACAAAAGGCTAAACTAATTGTAAATAATGTTGTGACGGAAGAACTTAAAATTGAAAAAGGGACACGACAAGGTTGCCCAATTTCCCCGCTTCTTTTTATCTCAGTCCTGGAGGTTCTGTTGAATATGATTAGAAGGGACCAGATGGTTAAAGGTATACAGGTCGGAACTAAACACTATAAATTGAGAGCATTTGCAGATGACTTAGTATTGACGTTACAGGAGCCAGAATCTAGTACTAAATGGGTTTTAGAACTGATTCAAGAATTTGGTCAAGTGGCAGGATTTAAATTGAACAAGTCAAAAACCAAGGTTCTAGAGAAAAATTTAACACCGTTTGAAAGAGAGAGGTTTCAGAATGAGACAGGTTTAACAGTGGTTAAGAAAGTTAAATACCTGGGGATTAACATGACAGAAAAAATGGGAATTTATTTAAAGATAACTATGAAAAATGTTGGTCAGAAGTGAAAAAAGATTTAGAAATTTGGTCAAATTTGAAGCTTTCACTGTTAGGCCGTATTGCTGCGATAAAGATGAATGTATTGCCCAGAATGTTGTTCTTGTTTCAAACTTTGCAGATCGTGGACAAAATGGATTGTTTCAAGAAGTGGCAGAAAGATATTTCTAAATTTGTCTGGCAGGGCAAGAAACCAAGAATAAAATTTAAAATACTAACGGATGCAAAGGAAAGAGGTGGGTTTGCCCTGCCAGACCTTAAACTGTACTATGAATCAGCAGCCTTTTGCTGGTTGAAAGAATGGCTACTTCTTGAAAACACTGACATTTTGGATCTAGAAGGTTTTAATAATGTATTTGGATGGCATGCATATTTATGGTATGATAAGGTCAAAGCACATAAAGCATTTAAAACCACATTGTCAGGAAAGTGCTGTTTAATGTTTGGATAAGATATAAGGATTTGCTAGAAAATAAAACCCCAAGGTGGCTGTCACCAATGGAAGCGAAAGCCTTGAAAAAGGTCAATATGGAGGTCAAATGGCCGAAATATTGGGAAATTTTGGAACAAGACGGAGATAGACTGAAATTGCAGAGTTTTGAAAAACTAAAAACAAAGTGCGAGACTGGCTTCATTATTATCAAATAATGGAGGTATTTAAATTGGACAGGAAAATTGGCTTCCAGGTGGAAAGATCCAAATTAGAAACAGAATTGTTAGAACCCAAGACTAAGAATTTGTCAAGAATGTATAACTTGCTGCTGAAATGGAATACTCAAGATGAAACGGTAAAATCGGCTATGATTAAATGGGCACAGGACGTTGGACATAACATTATGTTTGCTGACTGGGAACAGTTATGGACCACAGGTATGAAATTTACGGCATGTAATGCCTTAAGAGAGAATATTATGAAAATGATATACAGGTGGTACATAACCCCAGTCAAGCTTGCGAAAGTTTATCACTTGCCTGATAACAAATGTTGGAAATGTAAAGAAACTGAAGGTACATTTTTTCACCTTTGGTGGACGTGCCCAAAGATTAAGGTTTTCTGGGAAATGATATATAATGAATTTAAAAAGGTATTTAAGTATACCTTCCCTAAGAAACCAGAGGCCTTTCTCCTGGGCATAGTCGGCCAAATGGTGTTAAAAAAGGATAGAACTTTCTTTATGTATGCAACAACAGCAGCAAGAATACTCATCGCAAAGTATTGGAAGACACAAGAACTTCCCACGCTGGAGGAATGGCAGATGAAACTTATGGACTATATGGAATTGGCGGAAATGACTGGTAGAATCCGTGACCAGGGAGAAGAGTCGATGGAGGAAGACTGGAAGAAATTCAAAGACTATCTTCAGAAACACTGCAAAATTAAGGAATGTTAGAGTGATGTTGGACTGAAAATAAGTGGTTTCCAGCTGCACAGGTTAAAGTTAAGGATAGATTAAGATTAAAGATTAAGATTAAAGAAGTTTAAAGAAATGGAAATTTGATTTTAAAAGGGGAAACTTTAAAGTTATATGATATTAAGATTAAAGGATTAGGTTTAAAAAAGTTGAAGTTATATATTTTAACATTTTATTAAATTAAAGATTGGGATTAAAAAAGTGGAAAAGAAACTGCTGGACAAATAATGTGGATTGGAATACAAAAGAGGGAGGTATGAGGAAGTCCAGAAAATAAGTAACTTAAAATTGGAAATGGAAAAGAGAGTTTGTTTTTAATTGTTTTGTGTTTATATTGTTAAGTTTTGTATTGTTTTTTGTGTGTGTTGTTTTTCTTTTTTTTGTTGTTGTTTAAAACTTTAATAAAAAAATTATAAAAAAAAAAAAGAGAACAGAAATCGTGTGGTGGCAGTGCGGCAGCAGTGGTAGGCCCCATTAGCTAAAGTGGTACCTCAGGTTAAGAACAGTTTCAGGTTAAGAACGGACCTCCAGAACGAATTAAGTTCTTAACCTGAGGTACCATTGTATGTCAGTTCTCCCATTTCCCTGCAAAACAGTTGCAAAATAATAATTCACTTTACTTCTTAATTTTATTCTTTAGTTTCAAAAAATACATATAACATCCCCACATACACCCACCCCCAGATATGTTCTATGCATGTACAAGGCAACTAATGCAATCAAACATTAAGTAAGTTTGCCAATACTTTAGTATTGGTTACATCAGTTAGGTCTGTTTCTACTCTCCATCTTAGCAGATGGTCCCAGAGTGAACCATGGGGAGCTGGTAGTGACATTGTCCTTTCCAGTGTATCGAATAGACATGGACCATGTATTTGTACAGTATTGGTGTTCCTAATTAGATTCTTCACCTACTGGAGGACTCCTGAAAGATAAGGGTAGAGCGGGAGATGACAGAGGTCCTTTTGGTCATATTTGCACCTTGTGACTCCAAGACAATAGGGGAACTGTTTGCCAGATGAAAAGCAGATTCATTCCTCCCCAGTGGCTCTGATGAAGAGTAATTTGCATGCTGTCTGTAACACCACTGGTCAGAGGGAATTGGTTTCCCATCTAAGGCAGAACACTCTTAAATCCTTTGCCATTTCCACTGCTATCCATTTGATTTTAATTAAAGCACTGCCATGAATTATAAAAGAGCAGATCTTCAAAGCCATTAATTACAGCCCCCTTGGTGTCTTTGTGCTAACATTATAATGACAAGTGGGGTGGGGAAAAACACACAGTCTATCAACATGCAGTGGGGGAGATGGCAGCTAAAACTACCCAAGCAAAACTATTATTCTGACATCCTTGGCATTGGGCTTTCTGATTGGGAGAGGAGGCACATCTCCTGTGAATATGGGCAGACCTGCAAGGGGGATTCATTCAGTCTGGGAATGGCATCTGCCTGTATGGAGCACCTCTTTGGAAATGGGTTAATCCATGACAGGGATGGGCTCACCTGACTATTGGGGTTTCCCTCAGTTTTTCATTTTTCCACCAGTCTTCAGTTCTCCATATTTCCATATCAATTTGCAATTTTTTTAAGTCCTCATGAAAATTCACCAGCATTTTATTGGGAATTTCTCCCTACATATACCTATTTTTTACAAAACAATTTCCCCTAAAAAAAAATACATTTTAATAAGTTGCATTCATCAACATATGCATGTTACCCTAATATATACAGTGATTGGGGGGCTGGAAAACTATGTTGCAAAATTCAGAGAAGCACGAATTTTGTGTTTTCCAGTCTATTAAACTGATAAGAACAGATACTACACTTGATGTTAGCCAAAAGGCCGAGAAGTGATGTGTTTTCCATTCTAATATTAATTCGGTAGCTGCAAATTGTTGCTGCTGTTGTTACCCACTCTTCCTATCAAAGGAGCCCAAGGCAGCAAACAACAAACAATTAAAACATCTTTTTAAAAAATTAATTTTTAATTGGGGAAGATCTTGACTTAAAAGGCTTGGCTTCAGGAGGTACTAAACAGACAACAGTGATGGTGCCTGTCTAATATTCATTAGAAGGCATTCCAAAGGTGCCACAGTGCTACAGACCTAATTCCTACACTGTGTGGAGCAGACCTCCTGATAAGATGCAAGGGGCCCTCAGAGGCAGAGCACAGTGATGGATCATCATCATATCTTTATTTATAACTCCACCTTTTCCTCTGACAGGGACTCAAAGCAGCTTACAGATAAAAATGAGTACAGCTTAAATATACAAACAGGATGTATTGGGGTGAGACAATCCTTCAGCTATTGGGCAAGTATTCAGATGAATTAGGCAGGTCCTCTGTTAATTGTGAACTGAATCAAATTCCCTCCCCACTTCCGTAATCCATATGCACATTTGCAGAATGAATCTGTGGAAGCAGGAAAGTTAAATAAGACCACATTTGGAGTTTCATTGCTGGGAGTTGCAAGTGGGGAGAGCACAAGAGTGCTCAGTAGTGCCGGATTTATGTATAGGCTAAGTAGGATGAAGCCTAGGGCCTCTAAATCTAGGGGCCTTGCCAGCCTGCCCGCTTCCCAGCAGGCAACCTCCCCTCTCCCCAAGTTGCAAACCCAAGACTTCATGCAAGGGCAGGGCAAGTTAGGCTAGCCAGTGGGGCCCAATTTGAAGAAGGGCCCAACTTTAGTTTTTTGTTGTTGTTTTTTGTAGGGCCCCAGTTCACAGGCAAAGTCTGCAAAATCTTAGAGATATAAATAAAATCCGTCTAGATTGCTCTGGTGCGGGGGGCCACTTAGGAGCGGCAGGCGGGGCCCAATTTGGCCAAATTGCTCCAATTGTGTTAAGGTCAGCCCTGATCAGACTGGACAAGCCCTGCACCTTCTAGGTCCCTGGTGTCACTATTCAGAGTACAGACTCAAGGACGTTATGGAAATAAAGGGGGGCACTTACTGGAAATCATTTCTGTCACCTCTCCCCACCAAATCCTGGGACGATGAACCCAGCCACCTTTTATTCACAGTTGCATAAGCACTACACTACAGCATGGCCATAAACCTGTACATTCAACCACTGAAATACACACCCGATACGTAGCAATGGACATTTATGTTACTGCATTATGAATGAACACTGTGTTTTATTAATGGACTCTGTATTTTTGGAATTACCTAAGAGCCACCAATAGGGAGCTCTAGAATCAACAACAAACCAATCGGGTACTACCAAACAGTGACCCCTATTGCTAAAAGCAGGTAACCAGCAGGAAACGCTTCAGCTCAACTTTTGCACTGTTCACTGAGCACCCCCTGCTGTGCAGATAATGGAGAAAGCTCTAAAAATGCTTTTGCAGTTAATCAAAACTATCCAGTAATCCTTCTAGTTGGTTAATTGGTTCGGAAACTTCCATGCACATGACGTGTGATGCTAATTATTTTCCCCAAGAGTTAAATGATAACTAATCAGAGGCAGCTACAGTTGCAAATGGCAACAAAATATCTGTGAAAGAGGAGCAAATTTCCTCAAGTGTGTTGCAGGTAGAAATACTGTTTGTAATGAAGTGAGAGCAGTAGTTTACTTGCTTGAATTGACAAATAATAAAGTTTTGGGAATTTAAATTATAGATTACAACTGATTACTTAATTCAGAAGGAGACTGTAACAAAAACACTGGAGCCTAATTTGAATAGTACAGTGCCTGGTATCTGGTGGGCAGACCAAAGCACTCGTTAGGAGACCTATGAGATTCAGGTGAGGGTCAAATGCCTTGTCAGTGCCAGCAGGTATATAAGAGGCCTGCGGTGAAGGCAACAATGGGAGTGATTCCCTATATGGGTGAGTGCATGAGTTAGAGCTAGGTTTGTGGCTGAGGCAGTTAAAGCATCCCTCCACTTATGCAGAGGTTAAGGCCCAGGCCTTATTTTAAGAATAACATTACAAGTTCATTTTCCTAAGAAATAATGCTTATTCCACAAAATGTCCTTTCGAAGAGAAATTGTGAATTGCAGAATTTTAAATCCCCATCATCCTTGGCTTCACTCAATTTTGTTTATAACATTCTTCCATTTTCTTTTAGTTGTGAGGGTGAGGGTGAGGGGCCTCACATGTGGAGTAGCCTAAGGCCTCTCTTCATCTAAATCTGGCCCTGGTGCTCAGGTTTTGTTTTTAGGCCATAGGTATCTGGCTGGCCCTGTGAGAATAGCATCCCTGGTCACCCGATGGTCAATCTAACCCAGCTGCCACTAGATCTACAGGTCTTAGGGATAGATCAGTGCCAGACAGCTGCTGCACAAGATCCTTTAACTGGCACTTAGCATCTAGGGCCAGCATAAGAACATAATGACTCCATCTAGTCCAGAATTCTCTTCTCCCAGTGATTACCAGATGCCTGTGAGAAGCCCACAAGGAGGCTATGGGCACAACAGCATCTTCCACTTATGATCCCCTGCATCTGCCATTCAGAGACATGTTGTCTCCAGTACTGGAAGTAATATACAGCCATCATGACAAGCAGCCATTGAGAGTCTTGACCTCCATGAATTACAGAACCCCAATCATGGCAAATTATCCAGTAAGCCACCCGTCCCTGGTCTTAAGTTCTGCTCTAAGGCATTCAGAAATTTAAGGACATCCTGAACACACTTATCCTACTCCCTGTGGATCGTTGGTATCCTTCGTCCAGCTCCGACTCAAGGAAGGGAGCAACGTCCATATCCTTGGAATGACTCTCCTTCAATCGGAAGCCACAACTCAAGGGACATTTTACCAGTGTGGCTGGGCCCAGTCGGCCTCGTTATCCAGTCTCAGAAATGCTGCTTAAGCCCCCCTCTGTATTCATCTCCTAAACAAGCATATGATTCCTTCAGCAATGCATCTGAGCTGAAACTTGTAGCAAGTTGTAGTATGGAAAGGCATAAACTGGTCTGTCAACTCTTGTCTCTTTTTCTTTTCACTGTTCAAAGAGGGATCTGTCTGTTGCTACCTTAAAATCTTAGCAAAACACACATCTGGTAACTGCCCCTTCTCTTCTCTCCCCCCCCCTTCATGTTTCCACTGGGTTTTCAGACTTCCTCTTGCGGTGATTTGGAGACTGCGCATCTGGATTTCTTAAACATACAAAGGAATTGCTGGAGCAAGCAAAAGCAGAGAGAGAGCCCTGAGAGAAGTTAAGATGTGTTGATAAGCAGCTGATGGGACCTTGCAACTCAAGACACTGACAGTGCCAAGCTCCTTACGAAGACAGGGCTTCAGGGAAATAATACGAATCGAAGCAAAATGAAGATGCACATCTCCTTCAGCTTTGCTGGTTGCATGCTTAAAATCCTGTTGATCCACATCTCCATTTTTCACCCAGCCTCAGCCCCACCACCACCAACTTTGAGGCTTTCAGAAGACGTACCAGGCAGAGAACTGATCCCATCACCCATCATAAAGTTTCCAGGGGACATTTCTCCAAAAACTGACAAAGAACTGGCATTGGTAAGTATGTGTTTGTTTGTTTGTTTGTTTGTTTGTTTGTTTGTGCCCCCCCCAATTTCCCTTTGAATAATATTTTGCAATGTTTGTCTTGCTAATTCTCTGATTCTCTGTAACCCAATAGCCACTGCTTTCCATCTCTGAGGTTCCTGGGTGGGGAATAGGAGCTGGCAAAATTATCAGCTTTCAAAATGTTGAAGCAAGCTCTGTTTCCCCTCATGAAACTTTTAAAGTCAGGCCAGAAGTCTGTATTTTTGAATGGCTGCCCTCTGCCTCTGCAAACAAAGTTCATCAAATTGCTGAAGATTTAACAGGGGAAGAGGGGGGGGGTAGCGGAATTGTATAGAAAGTAAACAGGGTTTTTTAAATTTTGTTTCTGAAGCATAGCTTAAGTATAGCCTGAAAGACAATTACTGTACACAGGTGGCTTTGTTTTTAGCAGATATAATGACTAGTCTCAACCAAGATCTGCTTGAAGCAGTAACTGCCCCTTGAAGCTATTCTCAAACTATGTTCTATCACTATTTCTGAAGCTGCACTGAAAAAGTTTGGGAGGATGTCTGCTCTTAGACATTATAGCTAGTTACAGATTTATTTTGTCTGTGTTTATTTGATCTGTCATAAAAAGCGACCTTACAGAAATGAAGATTTTAGGAAAAAGGGAACCATAACATGTGCATTGCAATCTGATGCATTTAACTGAATTGTCCTCCATGGGGCTTACTCACAAGTAGATATAGTATCACAGCCTAACAGGGTAACCCTATGGATGTTTACATGGAAGGAATCCCATTGATCTCAGTGGGGCTTACACCCTAGAACTAAATGTATCTTAGGCTGCAAGTCAGAATGGTGCAGTGGTTAGAATGTTGAAATAGGACCTGGGAAACCAGGGTTCAAATCCACACTTGGTCATGAAGCTCACTGGGGCAGTTGCTGCCTCTCAGCCTAACCTATCTCATAGGGTTGTTGTTGGGAGAAAGAACCATGTATGACACCTGGAGCTCCTTGGAGAAAAGATGGAATAGAAATGCAATCAACCCATCTTTACAAGGGTGTAAGCCCCATTGAGCGTAATGGGACTTCCTCCTGAGACAGCATGCAAAGGTCTGTGCAGTTAGGGCAGGAATAACCAGTGTGGTACCATCCAGATGTTGCTGATCTCCCACTTCATCTTTCACTATTGACCATGCTGGCTAAGGCTGATGGGTACTGGGCCCCATCTGTACCATACATCTAAATAACTATCCTACCACTTTAAAGAGTCAAATATTTTCAGGCTCTAGATTGGCCCCACCCAGCCAGGCTGGTAACTGAGCTGTGCTAAGGAAAGGTCAACATAAGGGCTTCCTGTTCAGGCTGGGACCCTGTCCGAGCAACAGGCTGTCTTCACCCTGGTGTGTTTTTGTGAATCCTTTGGCTCTGATTTCCTGGCTCTCCTTCAGACTCTTCAAAATGCTGGGTCGATTTGGGTTGCCTGAGCCCAAGCCCAGACCCCATCACCACACAAATTGGCTTGAATTGGTTTGGGATTCAGGCATTGGCTAAATCTGGTGTACAGCCCTACCACATTCCCTTGTGGGCGGCCTTCCAGAAGCCACATACCAGGGTCAAGGAAGATCAGGGGCAAAAGTGAGTAGTGCAATCAATGTGACTCTTACCTTCATACAGCTAGGTACATTCCAGCCATGCAAAAGTCAGTGTTTGCTACACCCACCCACATCACCTCTCCATCCAGGCATGATCACGCAATTCAAGCCAGGCTAAAGCACTGGAGGAGACTAAAGAGCACTGCTGTTGAGGGGTGTGGCTTTGGGCATGGCTGTCCCATCCTTGAGGAAGACGCCCCAGGACATAGAATCTGCAGGCACCCACCCCTTGCCACTTCCAGGGCCCCACGAAATTGTGTGGAAGCCTCTGGGAGATCTTGTGTGGCTCTCTTGTGATCTTCCTGGAACCTGCAACCTCACAACCCTGGTAAGTGAGGCTTTGGCAGAGATGGCAAGCAGGGGTGAGAAGTGCATGCACAGGGCAGTACCTTCCCATTTCTCCTCAGGCTGTGAAATGGAAGGTGCTACCACTGGCTTTGGGAGAGGATACAGCTTAAGGAGAGCCCTGGAGTTGGTAGCCAACACTGTCTCCTGTGAAAACGAGTTCCATAGTTTAATCATGCACTGCGTGAAGAAATGCTTTTTTGGGGTAAGGAAGTACTGTTGTTGAGCTATGGGCCCATCCAGACTGGGGGTGGTTGTTTTTCACAGATGTATTCTACAATATGTCATTGACACAATAAAAGTGCATCAGTGGGGGATTTATACTAGGTGGCCCACACACATCATTTTGCTTTATTTGTTGTTCTGCAATTCTTCCCCATTGTTGCCATCTGGCGGGACACACTTGCATGCTAGTGCAACTAAATTGGGATGAAACCACAACAACCCTAGTAACAGGATTTCAGTAGGAAGTTATAGGGTCGGGGAGAGAGGGGGTTTATTGGTTTGTTTTCTACTTGTTCTTATTTGTATTATATATCTTCTGGGGGGTTTTCTTGTACTTTTATGTTGTGAATCCCCCTAAGATTCACTGATAAAGGGCGGTATACAAATTTAATAAATAATAATAACAATAATAATAATATAGGATATGCAGTGATCATAAGTGAAGCAGCATGTCCATGCCAAAACCTTTGCAGACACAAATGATGTTGAGAGCAGGACCATGTATAATTACCCCCAAGACCTTCATAAGCACCAATCATCATGGTGATGACCAAAGTGTATCTGGATGAACCCTACATAGCTCAACGTTGGCTGGAGTTGCTGGGAGTTGCAGTCGAAAACATTTGTGAGGCAATTTGCAAGACATCCAGGTGGAGTAGTCTGGTAGAAAGCACAAAACTTAGCTTAGTGTTTGGGAGGTGGCTTTGGTAGTGCAACACAACAGAATTTTTTTGGACAAGTCTGGAATGCGAATCCCATAGCAAGTAGCTGTCTATTTGTTTAAGGAAGGGAGCATCTGGAGGAGACCACATCGATTGCTTCTGGCTTAAGTTATAAAGCCAAGAAAAACATTACTGGGAGGTGGGCAGGGAGTAACACTGTTTTTCTGGCAACTGTTTGAAAAACAGAAGAATCCAGCCAGGCAAGCTTCCCCCCTCCTTCCCCTGGTGAATTGGCATGGCAACTCTAATCCCACCCACACTGTGATTAGCAGACTGTTGCCCTGATATTATCAGTGACTCGAATAAGGTGCAGAAAAGGGCAGACAAAATGCCCAGAGGTATGGGATACCTTCTGTACAGTGGTACCTCGGGTTAAGAACTTAATTCGTTCTGGAGGTCCGTTCTTAACCTGAAACTGTTCTTAACCTGAAGCACCACTTTAGCTAATGAGGCCTCCTGCTGCTGCTGAGCCACTGCTACGCGATTTCTGTTCTGATCCTGAAGCAAAGTTCTTAACCCGAGGTTCTATTTCTGCTGTCGGTTTTTGAAATCTGCATGAGTATCACCAAGCTTGAGCAAAAATTCTGACCCCTATTTCCCCCTCATGCTAATGGGATTGCAGACTAGGCCCAGCCCTGTTTAGACTCCCAGGCCCTGTTAACTACTCCCCTCCCCACCACACTTTTCACCTACCATCACCTGTACTTGGACCTTGAATGTTAGTTGCATTCATTTAAATGCTTTGCTAGTGACAAGTACAACTGAAAGTGTATAGCCCATTGTGTCCAAAACCCTTGCAAACATGTCCACCATTCATTGTTGCTTTAGAAATATTTACCAGCTCACCTATTCACACATTTTCATTATGTGTGTGTGTGTGTGTGTGTGTGTGTGCGCGCGCGTGTGCGCTTAACAGCTTAACAATTCCCATCTACAAAAGCTGCCCTCTCTGGTCACCTTGAAATAATTCCTTCTCACCACTGGTTAGTCATCAAACAAGTTTCCAAACTTCATAAAAAGCCTGTTGTGACTGATTGTGCTGTTTTCTTTTCTTTTTGGTTGAAGCAATACCTCAACAAGTATTATGGGTGCCCGAAAGAGAACTGCAACCTCATGGTGCTAAAAGATACCTTGAAGAAAATGCAGAAATTCTTTGGGCTTCCTGAAACTGGAGAACTGGACCAAAACACCATAGATACAATGAAGAAACCCCGTTGTGGCAATCCGGATGTGGCCAATTATAATTTCTTCCCGAGAAAACCAAAATGGGAGAAAAATCTCGTCACATACAGGTATGCATACATACTATCAGGCAAAACATTCCATGTTAGGGTGCAATCTTAACCTCGCTTATCTGGGAGCAAGTCCCATTGAATAGACAGGCATACCTTGGTTGTCCCAAGAAGGAAGCCTTTTTATAACTTCTAGCAGTTTAGCAAGGCCAGGTAACTTTGGAGGGGAGAAGGAGATCTATCTATCAGATTCACTGGTCCCAAGCTGTTTAAAGCCTTACAAGTCCACATGAATGTCTTAAAGCTAGCTTGGTAAGCAAACCAGCAGCCAGTATGCTTGTAATGATAATATTATATTGATTTGTTCTTGTTCTTATTATGTATTTTCTGTTCTCATTTTGTATTTTTATGTTGTGAACTGCCCTGTGATCATCAGATGAAGGGCAGTATACAAATTTTGATGATGATGATGACAGACAGCGAGAGATCAAAAAATGGAAGTAGATTTGTAAGAGTAGTTTCAAAACATCTCCTCCTCTTTGCTTCAAATGTATAGGAGGAAAAGCAAAGCATGAATGGGTTACCTCTGAGACGCCAGTGTTGTACAAGACAAAGCAAGCCTGAGGTGCAATGTAGCTTTCCCAGAATTGAAATCTCAACACTAAGAGATGTCCTACTCTTTACACAGCTGGAGCAATCTGAACCCTCAATATTCATCATTAAAAAGAGGGGGAGCATCTTTGGCCATTATTCCAGAACACCATGAGTTCTTCTGGGAGAATAATGGCTATCCCTTTCTTTCAAATGCTGTTGTTCCATACAACTCCACAGAACAAAACACCACAGGCTCCACTTTGTCTGCCTCTCTCTCCTTCTGCTTCTTAAAAAATAAAATAAAATAAATGTAGTTTTTTTTTAATCTGGCACTTTGAGCTGGAGGTATTAACCCCACATCCATGTTATGCCTGCAGAAAGAAAGCCGAACCAAAATTACCCTGCGATCTGGACAGCAAATAGTTTAACAAGCACTTCATCGTCCATTAAAGTCTGGAGGGATAAGTCTTAGGCGGAGGAAGTACAGCAGGGCTCTTTTAATGATTTCCATATCTATTTAAGTCCTGTGGCTCAGCTTTTTAGTGTGTGCATCTTTTTCCAGTGCCTTGTACAGACAGTGTTGCTGGCCAGAAATTAATAATGGCACACAAGCAAGGTTGTGTGTGTGTGTGTGTGTGTGTGTGAGAGAGAGAGAGAGAGAGAGAGAGGCTGCAATTCTGTTCGTACTTATTTGGGAATAAGCCCCACTGAACACCGTGGAACTCGCTTTAAGAAAAAAACCAAGGGATCAGGCCATACATTTTGTAGGAATTCTGGCTTAAAGCAAGGATGGGGAACATCTGTGGTCCTCTAGATATTGTTTGGCTACAGCTCCTGTCATCTCTGAATTTGGGCTTGCTGGGAGTTGGAGTCAAATAGCATATGGATGTTCTCTATCCCTGGTTTGAAAGGTTGCTTTATGCTTTCTTTCCGGAGCATTTTAGGGACATTGACCCAAGTTTTGGGTCTTTCCTATTAAGCCCCAGATCCCCTGAGCTTCTCTTCCTTTAAGCACTTTAAAAGAAATTGTTTAAAGGGGTTGTTACTCATGGTGCAAATTGCCATGCCAGTGAGATCCAAGGCACCCCGCTATCTTAATTTGCACATATAAACTAGTCCTCCCCAGGTGGACCCAATCTGGCACAACCTGTTCTGGCCAAATCCCAGGTTAACCCCAATCTGCCCAATTTGCTTTGGGATTTGGCTATACAGTAGCTGGTTCACAGCTCTAGTAATATAATAATAACCACCACCATCACCACCACCAGCAGCAGCATTACAAGAACACTGTGCAACAAGGAATTAGAACAGACATGAATCCTTCACACACATACCCCCCCAAAATGACGAGTCTTATGTTAAAAGACTGATAGCTATAGGGCTCTTTGTATTGCTTTTGCTGCAAGAGACTTAGTGTGGCTGCTATCCCTTTCGGGGATTTTCTCCACCTGATCCATACCCTTCTCTGTTTTCTCACCCCACCCTACCCTACTTTTATTGTGAAGGATTTTAGGCTACACCCCAGATCTGGACTCAGAGACTGTGGATGATGCTTTTGCCCGAGCCTTTAAAGTCTGGAGTGATGTCACACCACTGGAGTTTTCCCGAATTCATGATGGTGAAGCAGATATCATGATCAATTTTGGACGATGGGGTAAATATCTCCATACAGCATTAAGGATAAGAAAACCTGAGGGACAATATAGCTCTCTGTCCATTTCTGCCTTCTCCCTTCTGTATCTATCTTGGTCTGCACAGGGGATTTATTACCTGGTACTTTACCCTTTCCCACCAGCTCTCTTCCAATGCATGAACAGAAATACATTCAGGAGATCTAGGTATGTAGACCACCCACCCACAGAGCACTTGACTGGACCAGTCCAATAGCATATATATAGTGTACTTCAGAACTGTTCAAATTCACCTGGTACAGTCATTATCTCAGTTGTCCTTACATCAGGTAGCAGAACTAGGAATTCTTTCAAGGGGAAAGGAGAAAAGAGTAGGGCCAAGGGTGGTTTGGGATGGCTCTGAGGGCTGATCAGAACAATTGGGGGAAGGTTTAGAGGCCATGGCCAGTTCAAAACCACCATCATGATTGGTGGGAGAGAGACAGCCACTCCTGTCTTTGAGGCCCTCCAGACAAGTGGGGCATTTTTTGTGGGTGTCTTCTGCAACATGTCTTTGATGCAATAATAAGGTATCAGTGGTGGATTTATACTGGGCGTCATTCCACTCTATTCATTGTTCTGGATTGCTTCTCTGGTGTTCATTCATTGTTGCCATTTGGAGGAGGACTATAGTGCAACAAAAGTGGGATAATACCACCACCACCACCCTGGAACATTTGGGGTATAAATAGTTACAGGATTTCAGGACGAAGCTAACAGGACATGTAGCAATTGGAAATGAAGCAGTATCTCTGCCTTGAAACATTTGCATGCTCAAACAGGACTGAAAGTGAGATTGCCTAAAGCTGCCCTGATGCCATCCTGACCACCAATCCTCATGAAGGAACAATGAAAAAGGATATATGGAGGGGCTTTTATTTCAACTGACCTGAATGTGGGCAGTTGGGCACATGCAGACATACTCACCCAACCAGGCCCATTTTGTTTGTTTGGTCCATTACAATGGCATCATAGAATTGATTATTTGGAAGGGATCTGGTTGTCCACTGTGAGAAAAGGATGCTGGGCTAGATGGGCTTTTGGCCTGATCCAGCAGGTCCCTTCCTATGTTATTAAGTCTGCTCCATTCTTCTGGGATTCTGCCCTTCTATTTCTACGAAGGGGTTTCACTTCTCAGCTATGCTCTGCCAGTGTGCCTTCGGCTGGCCTTGCTCTAACCTAAGGTACACATAGCTGAGAACTCAGGGTTTGGCTGGGAGCATCTGACATTTGTTTCCAATGGCAAGGGATCAAACCCAGAAAGTCCTCAGTGATGCAAAAGTGGTCACCGCAGGCAGTGTCGTTGGCCAGGCTGCTGGTGAGAAACTGATGAATAACAGGGTTATGCCCTTGCCAGGAGGTTGCTTTTCCAAGAAAAGCTTTCGGTGAAATAATGGGAGAAGCCAAGAACTCGGCCTTCACCCGAGGAGGAAGGAGAGACTTGAAATGACTTGGTGCAGAAAATACACACAGCTTTATTCATAGACACTCAAGTGGGGGGGGGGGGAGAGAGAGAGAGAGAGAGAGAGAGAGAGAGAGAGAGAGAGAGACCCTGAATAGCTCCAAGGTAGAACATCTGCTTTGTATGCATAAGGTCCCAGGTTCAGTTCCTGGCATCTTAGTATAAGGCAGTTTCCTATGTTGGTGGGGAGACCACAATAAAGAAGGCAAAAAAGGAAAATGCAGTGTTTATTTACATATTTCAGAGGTGTGTTTTCCCACTACTGCCAATAGGTCCCCAAGAAGATTTTTCATCAATAAAATGTAAATCAGCACAAGAGATTAAAAATCAAATATAATAAAAAGAATTCCTTAACTCAAACGCACACAAAGTAAAACAGAAAGGGAAGCATCATCAGCCCATAAAAATTGTAGAAAAAACAACCTAGCTATTTTAAAGAGGGCATGATTATTCAACCATTTTAGATATTTGTTTTCCTGTATTTAATGCCACTTGATTTCTTCTTTCTTCTGCAGAGCATGGTGATGGGTATCCTTTTGATGGAAAGGATGGTCTCCTGGCTCACGCCTTTGCCCCTGGGCCCGGGGTTGGTGGGGACTCCCATTTTGACGATGATGAGCTTTGGACTTTGGGTGAAGGACAAGGTATGGCAGCTGCTGATTGATTCAAAACATCGCCAAATGTCAACTGTTACCAGAAAGACTGGACAGCAAAACAGTGTAGATCAGCTTTCCCCAACCCAATACTATCTAGATGTTGTTGGACTCCAACCCCCACCATCCCTAACCACTGACTATGCTAGCTGAGGCTGATGGGAATTGGAGTCTGAAATATACAGAGGACACCAGATTTGGGAAGGCTGGTATAGATTTAGGGCTGATCCCTCAGAATTACCTTCAGGTGACCATTGGCAATGTTGGCTCAGGGTGATAGGTGCTGGAGTCCAGCAACATTTTCATATGCTAATATTTAGGAACTTATGCAAAATACTATAATTTAAATGCATCTCACACCAGAGTGGGGAAGATTAGAACCAAGTGAATGGTGAGCACCAGCTCACTTTGAGGTCTTCACAGATTCGCTTACATTAAACAGCTCCCACTGTTTAATGTATTTCCAGATGACTCTCCTGTAGTTCAATGTCTAAGCAAGTTCTTTTAGCTACCGTGTTCTTTGACACCCCGCTCTAGAAATTATACTGAGAAACTCACATTTATATTTTGACCCCTCCTGACAGAGTCTCTGTTCTTTCCCTTTCAAGTTGTTAGAGTGAAATACGGCAATGCAGATGGGGAATTCTGCAAATTCCCATTCCTGTTCAACGACAAAGAATATAACAGCTGCACCGACGCGGGTCGGAGTGATGGATTCCTTTGGTGTTCGACAACATACAACTTTGATGCGGATGGCAAATACGGATTCTGTCCCCATGAATGTAAGTTGACTGACAGAAGCAGAGAGCTGCGCTTTGTTTTAATTTGGAAGCATATTGTGGCCTTTCCCAGATGACATGTATGATGTCTTTAGTTTCTCATTGGAAATATGGGGTCAATGGTTGTATCAGTGTGCCTCCAATTGTGTAAGCTGGCCAGGTCCCTTCCATGCAAAATCCCTTTGGAGACATCAGAGTGCTGGTCTGGACATGATAGTTTTGGGGTGCACTTGTGGTATAGTGCTTTAAATAGAAGGTACAAATGTGGCTGAAATCTCACCGCTATCAACTTGAAACCAATCAGCTTTTTGCTTTTAAGATTTTTGCCTACTCCATCCCAGATATTTAGCAAAACTAAAAAAATGACGTATTTAATCTTGTTTTGTTGGTTTGGTGTTGTTTTTCCAAGGCTTTGTTTCCCCATAAGCTTGCCACACAAGGGGATCCCACCACAGGTGATAAGATGTCCCCTGGTGTACTCCAAGAAGCCAAAAAATTAGAGACAGGCTCTTACTCAGGGGTCGGCAAGGCTTACTGGGCATGGGCTGGATCACTCCCGCAGAGATCCTCCGTGGGCCAGGCCGGCACAGCGCTATACCGCAAATCGCTTCTGTGCATGCCTAGATGCCGAAAATCGCGCCTGCGCAGAAGCAATTTCCGGTACTGCGGACATGCGCAGATGCAATTTCCAGTGTCTGGGCATGCACAGAACTGATTTCTGGAGCCGCGGAAGAGAGTCCCCACGCCGCTTTAGCGCAGCACGCAAGGACTCACTGAGCGGGTGTCTCAGTTTGGGGTTGGCTCATGGGCTGGTTAAATGACCCTCATGGGCCCCTTCCGGTTTACTGGAGCATTATGCCAACAACATATAATTTGGACTTGTTAATCCCCACAACTGGTTTTCTGAGGCAAACCTCTTTTGGCAGTGGTGTTGCTAGTAGCCATGATGGCTATGTACTCATGGATAGTTTTATCTCCTGTGAATTTATCTACTCTCCTTTTAAAGCCTTCCAAGTTGGTGGCCATCTTGTGGCAGTGTATTCCCTTGTTTAAGTATGCACTGTGTGCAATGCTAAAATTTGTCTGGTCTGAATCGCTCACCATTGAACTTCACTGGATAACCTAAGTTTCTAATATTATGGAGAGGGAGAGGGAGAGAGAGATTACTCTTGGCTTGCTCTTTAATTCTTTTTTAAACTAGAATGGATGGAATTTGAACCACTTGTATTCAAAGCATGCATTCTGCCATGCTCTGCTAGGGGAAGTGGGTCTGGAACCTGAAGAATGGTGGTGCTTGCACATCACACTAATAAAATCTCTGCAAAATAAGAGTGATGCTTTATCTTGGGCAGGTACCAGGAAATAGACCCTACTCATTGTAAGTACAGTAGAAAAATATGAGTTGCACTTTGATGAGTTCCATCTGTCCACTTCCATATTGTAAGACAAGAATTATAGAGCTCTTATCGGTCTCTCAGAGAAATATAACTGTATGTTGCCAAAGATAGGTAAGTGAGATGAGACCATTAGATCCCAGTTATCTTCATTCTGCCACATTTTGTTGTACGGGAAGCCTTGAAGCTTTCAGAGGCAGAAAATGATTTTTAAGCTCAGCAAATATCTTGGGGCTTTTCTTCTTCTTACAAAGCTCTTCAAGCTGCCCAGTTTTTAAGCAGAGAAAAAGTGACGCTCTATACTTTGAGAAACTGCACATTCAAATACTGAGGGGAAAGTTCTGTGGAATCTGGCAAGCTGAGCTTCTATTTGGTTCCTTGCTCTTGCTAGCTGTGGATATAGAAAGCCAAGATTTACAGACAATTTCTCTCTTTGAAATTTGGAAGGAATTCTTAAAGGGGAAAAACTTGTTCACAGATTGTAAAATTGGTGCGGTCTGTTGTTCTCAAGCCAGGATGTCAAATGTGGAGACAATTTTTAGGAAGGAGGAAAGTTAGATGCTAAATATATATGTATCTACTTTCTCTCTGCCAACACACTTTGCTCCTCCTAATAAAATATCTCTCTGGCTGGTCCTGTAGTGGGAAATGATGTCCCTGTTCTCTTCCAGCATTATGTCCTTCTATTTCTTATACACCAGCAGCATTGTCAGATCCCTTAAATGTCGAACCTGACACTTGGGAGGTGCAGCCTTGGAGCTAAAAGGTGATGCTTGGCAGAATTGGGGGTGGAGACTGGTGAGAAAAGGTGCAGCCTAGTGGTACATGAGGAGCACAGAAGGTTGGACCATGCCTTGTACCAATCTACCACCTATTAAGCTACCAGGAAATGACTCAGCACAAACAATACAGAGACTGCAGAAGGGACAGAGAGAGTTTGAAGAAGAATGCAAGCTTGTTTAAATAATGTTCTTAATTTTATATTACTCCTGCTTGATTCTTAATGATAGCTCACACCACCCGAAAAATGGCTGACACCTCCAAATGGAGCCTTGTGGATGAGGTGAGGTGGAGAGAATTTCAGAAGCAAAGAAGTAGCTTGCTCACTTGAATCTTTCTGCTCATCTTGATAGCCTTCCTCCATCTTCCATGGAGGCAAACCAGTGGCATTATCACAGTACAGGTACACATTCAGGCAGGCAAAAGCACCTAAGGAGGACGCAGAGCAGGGTTGGTGAGTGTGTGGTCTTGGAAGAGAGGCATGGTCAGAAGAGGCCTAGGGACAAGATAGAAAGCCCTGTGGAGCCACATCTGGTTCTCAGGCCTGAGGTTCCTACCTCTTTTTAAACACAAAACCCCATGGCCCTTATGTTTCAAATGAGCATGTTCCAGCTTGCATCCTGACCGGGACAGAGTGACTTCTTTCTTTATGGTTGTCATATCACTAAAGACTTCTCTGCTGTTCACACAACAAAGAAGGCTAAAGAAAATGGCAGAAAGACAAAGGACTGTTTGACTTTTCCCTGTGTCTTCCTGTGTCAGCCAGGAGCCTACAGTCACTCCAGGATGAAGCAACATTGTACTCAGTTTCCATATGTTTGTGATGGATTTGGGTTTGGTTTTTTTGCAACTTGTACATGGCTAATAAAATGTGCATTTGAAAATGTGGAGGCGTACAGCTGGAAGAAGCTTAAGTGGAAAGCGAGTGACTCATCTTAGCTCACTCATCTTTTTTTGTTTGCTCCAGCAAAGATACTTTGCAGAAAAAGAATTCAAAGACAGGCCTTTGGATAACATTTCTTCTCCTGGAACTTCTTTGCCCTAGATCAGGAAAAGTGAGGAACCACAGACCCAGGGGCCAAAAGTGGCTGACTTGTGAGCAGAGGATTCCCTCCTGTGGTGCATTTGAGGTCTTCCCTTGGTGCTCACTTTTCCCTCTCTGCCCCATTGGTCATTGAGCTGAAAAAGAAAGTTGAGAAAGTGACTCTCTTTCCCATTTTCTCTTTCAGTTCTGTGTGCATTTCAAAGCTCAGAAGAGCCTTGGATCTTACTTTTGCCCAGATCTCTTGGGAGAATCGTGTGTGTGTGTGTGCTCGCACGTGCACACACACTTTCTCTCTTTCTGTCTCTTGGAAGGGAGTTGATCTGAGGGAGAGAAATGATCAAAGGACGTGCTGCCCACAGCATTCACTCCAAAATCCAAATGTGCCTACATTGAACTAAAAAGGTTGGCATCCTCTGGTCTACAATGTTTAACTGGACTTCCTGGCAGACCAAGAATGATTCATGGGCTGCAGGTTCCTCACTCCTAGAAGGTTGCAGGTCTAATCCTGGACAACCACTCTCAGTCAATGTCAACTGTGCAATGGTAGCAGCTTTTCAGGGTTTCAGGCAAAAGTCTTTGCCAGCAGTACCTGGAGATACCAGAGACTAAGCCTGGGACTTTCTGCACACAAGGTACACACTCTACCATTGGGCTTGCATCAAGTTACATAGTGGCAAATCCAGAAGGGCAGGATCCCTTCATCATTGTTGCAGGCTAGATTATACAGCTTCCTAAGATGATAGAATAACCTTACAATTATACAACAGTAAGGGGTGCATTGCAACAATCAATGCAGATCTCCATGTGTTGCCTTTCAGCTAGATCTACTGTTTTCTGTGCATGTACATGGACAAATGTTTTTGAGTGCTCCAATATCATCTTTTGGGGTGACTTGAGTTGTGTTTTCCTTGAAGTTCCATGGTATGTAACAGAAATTGTGCACTGTCCTTGTGAAACAGAATAACCCTGCGGTGTTCTTCTTATGTGCCTTCTCCAGAGTGACCCCAGGAGCCAATCCTCAGTAGCTGACTGACCTCCTTTCACTCTCATTGGCTCCAATCAGAACAAAGAGTGAGAATACTTCTCAGTGGCTGCAAAGCTCCCCTTTCATGGTGATTGGGCAGCTGTAGGAGATGGGGACCCTACTGCAGAAGTAGTAATAGCTCTTTGCCTCATCACTGATTCCAGACCACTATACCTCTGGCCGCGCAGTGGTGTAGCGTGGGTTGTCAGCACCCGGGGCAAGGCCGCGTAGCCACATGTGCAGTGGATTAAAGCGCAAATGATATCTTCCAAATGTTTGAAATGTCTTCCTCCTCCTTCTGCAGTGCTATTCACAATGGGTGGAAATGGTGATGGGCAGCCGTGCAAGTTCCCCTTCAAATTTCAAGGCAGCACCTATGATAGCTGTACCACGGAAGGAAGAACAGATGGATACAGATGGTGTGGGACCACTGAAGATTATGATCGAGATAAGAAATTTGGATTTTGTCCAGAGACAGGTAGAGTTGCTTTGCTATTGCATGGGTAGATTTATGTCAATGAAAGCAACCTCTCCCCTATGACATTGGTGGCTGTGTGTTAATGCTTCTTAAATCATTACTCTTCTCTTTGGAGAGAGGACCTTTTCAGGTTTCTTAATCTCCTAAGGATGGGAAGATGGAAAGAAGCAGGTGTTACTTTTCATGCCAGATGATGATGTATGACAGTGGTGGCAGGTGCTCTTTGGGACTGGTGGGGTAGAAGGCCCAGGGACCACTAGTAAGTGGCGCTGGAGCCAATGATAGGCAGAACCAGAGTCATCTTGCTCCCTGCTGAGTTCTGCAGGGGCAACACTGCAAAAAATAAGATATGGGTAAACTGAAGGAACCAAAAGCTGAAACAAACTAGAATTCCAGGAGCACAGACAGAATGGCAGAGTGAATCCAGAAAATAATGAAGGGGCTGAATGGGAAAGGGAGAAATCAGCTCTTATTTTTGCTTCTTCTTTTCTGCAGCAATGTCAACGGTTGGTGGAAACTCTGAAGGAGCACCCTGTGTTTTTCCTTTCATATTCCTTGGGAATAAGTACGAGTCCTGTACCAGCTCTGGGCGTCAGGATGGGAAGATGTGGTGTTCCTCAACTAGCAACTATGATGAAGACCGCAAGTGGGGATTTTGTCCAGATCAAGGTAGCTCTTTTCCTCATATTTATTATTTATTATTTGATTTACATCCCACTTTTCTCCAAGGAGCTCCCAGTGGCATACATGGATCTCCCTCTCTTCATATTATCCCCACAATAACCCTGTGAGGTAGATTAAGCTGAGAAGTTGTGACTGGCCCAAGGTCACCCAGAGAGCTTCATGGCCAAGTGGGGATTTGAACTCAGGTCTTCCAGATTCTAGTCTAACTCCCTAACCACTACACCACACTGGCTGTCATATATGCATACTAGCTCCAGTTCTCTAAAGTAGGAATTGGGGATGCACAATCACTCTAGTTCCAACATGGATAGGGATAAATTTGACGCAGTTAACATTTAAAGGTGAACCTACATATCTTGCCCTTTCTCAAACAATATACAAATTGAATCAATATCATCCTTCAATATTTGCACTTCTTTGAATTTTGCATTGTGGTTCTCCCATCATGTAATGTATACAAAAATGCCAATGCAGGGGGTAAAGTGTGCATACATATACATATCTTTGTGAAAATAACATACAAAAATATATTAGGGGAAATTACTTTGCAAACATATGTATTCTATATTAGGCAAAATTGCACACAATTGGTGTGTTAGGAAACATTTGGAACAAAATGGTGGTGGAAACTGAGGTGCAAATATGGAGAACTGAACTTAAAAGTTGCAAAATGAGAAACAAAACTGCTGGTATCCTCCCACTCCTAAGAAGAAAATAGCAGGGCTGCCCTCTGGGGTCTCCTGGGCTCTACACATGTCTGGCATGATTCGGGGGGGGGCATTTTGTGATTCACCTCAGGTGCCAAAATGTCTTCAGCCAGCCCTGCTTGTGGACATTCCACTATGTCCCTATGTGGATTTGGTTAGGATGATTCCAGGGGTTCCAGGGAAATCCTAAAAAAAATATGCATCTTAAAACAGTCACCTGAGCAAAAAAGCAAATTGAGGCATACTTATGAAGCATACTGAGAGTTGTTCTGCATTCCTTCATCTCCTTAGTCTTGCTTTTAACAGAATATAGCTGCTTGGAGCAGCTTCTGGATGTGGCACCTCAACAACGGCAGATAGAAATTATTTCAAAAACAGTGCAGGAAGTGACTGTGCACCATTTTCTTCTCTTTTATTGTACATACAACATACCCTCATGCTTTACAGCTGGGTGCAGCCATTTTGCTGAGCACACAACCCTCCCTCCTCTTAAACATGTTGGTCTTGGGGTAAGCTTGCAAAACAGATTGAACCAGATTGTGGTTGCGTTTGTCCTTGGTGAATCAAAACATCTCACTTAGGCACTTCTCAGAAATACGACCTAGAATATTATGTAGAATGGATTGCAAAACAGCAAAACATAAAACAAATGAGTCACCTTCACAACAGGAAGAAGAGTTGTCTCATGCAGTTTCCTAAGTGATGACCTCTGAAGACAGGAACATAGGAAGCATTCAACTGAAGGCCAGAACAAAGTTTACAAGAACAACTGTGGTCACATGTGGTTATTTCCATATTAAATTGAACCCTGCTTTTTCAGTAATTCTGATAATGTGGAGTGAACCTATACATGTTTCTTGTTGTTGCTGCTGCTCCTGCTGCTGTTCTCATTCTTCTTCATTATTCCTCGCAAAATTACAACATACAATGTTAAAAACAGTTAAAACCAATTTCAGTCAAGAAAATAGGGTGGGTCCCAAAATATGCATTTGTCAAAGGCCATGGTAAAGAGATTTATATTCAACATCTGACACAGACTACACAATGAAGGTGCCAGATGCACAACCATGGGGAGGGAATTCCACAGCTTAGGGGCTACTACCAAAAGCATATGTAGGGAAGGAGGGGGCCCTTCGGCTATTTAAGGCCTAAGTTGTTTGTGTATGTCAGAGGCCAGGGCACAACACAAGATCCCACTCTGCTTTCCACACTCATTCAAAGATTTCTGAAAAGAAGCTATAACAGTTGAATGATACTGTAAACACAATGTCACCTCTTTTCCTTTGTGCCAACAATGCAGTGTCACCTGTCCCCGGGCTTTCTCTGCTGAACACCTGGAATATTTTTAAACACTCCATAGCACCTCAGAAGCTTTGCTAGCACAGCTAGGCTATGTCTGATTTCAGTACACAGAAGCCGGATCTCTTCCAACCCCTAGTAGCAGAGCTTTTAAGGAATAGTCAGATTGGCTCTGTAATTAAATATATAGATAGCATTATGTTCAAACTGCCCCAAACCCGGTTTGTTTTTCTTTCAGGCTACAGCCTTTTCCTGGTTGCTGCTCATGAATTTGGTCATGCCATGGGACTAGAGCATTCTGAAGATCCTGGAGCACTCATGGCCCCCATCTATACCTACACCAAGAACTTTCGGCTTTCCCAGGATGACATCACGGGAATCCAGGAACTTTATGGTAATATTTCCACTTGTCCAAAACACATGTACTACATTTTGGCCTATAGCAGAACACATACTGTCCAAAGAAGCTTAGCTGATACAAAACCCCCTGAGACATCTCAGGTATTCTACCAGCCAGGCTGATAAAGATAGTGTTTAAATAAGACTGAATATCCCTTGCCACAGGGTTGGCCCTACCATTAGGCTGAGTGAGGCAGACTCCTTGGGCAGAGAATGCTGAGGGGCAAGAAGCAGTGATAAGGTGCTGGAGGACAGATCTGTGTGCCTTTCATTCTGCCCTGGGACCCATAGGCTCTCAGTTGCAATGGACATATGAACCCAGGGACATAAGAAGTTGCCTTATACTGAGTCATACCTTTGGTCCATCTAATACAGAGTGGTAGCAGCTCTCCAGGGTTTCAGACAGGGGACAATCCAAGCCCTACCTGGAGGTGCTGGGAGTTGAACCTGGAGCTTTCTGAATGCAAAGAAGATGCTCTGTCACTAAGCTGCAGCCCTTCTTTTTACCACTGGATCCTGCTGCCCCATTTCCAATGCTAACATAAGATACATCTGCCAGTCTGGTCAGCTTCTGTCTATGGAGCAAGGGAGTAGTCATTTGTCCTTTGCCTCATGCTTCAAATGGTCACCCCTTTCCATCCACCTCTATTTGTTGCCCTGATCCTCAGGCACTACATTTTACTTTCACCAGAAATAAATTTGGAAATGAAATTGTGTTGTTGTCCTCTTGTTGACATCTCTTTTTTAAAAAAGGAATAATCACATTAAGACCTCATTCCATTATCAACCTTCCCTTTATTTGCAGGGGGCTCTACTGACGTTGGTCCAGGCCCAAGTCCAACACTTGGGCCAGTCACCCCTGAACTATGCAACCAAGACATTGTATTTGATGCTGTTGCTCAACTCAGAGGGGAAATCTTCTACTTCAAAGACCGGTAGGTGGGAGGAAATAGTCTGTTTTACTCAAGTTATCTTGTACCAAAGCAAAGCAGAAGCCGAGGGTCTATGATCAAGTGTTATTCATGTTGTTGGGTTCTGCGGGGTCAGTCTGGATGATGCCTTGAGTCAAGTGGTATAGATAAATAAATGAAGAAGAGGTACAGCATCTGATGAGCTACATTCTTTGAAAGAAGGGAGTCTTGGAGATAAACTGAAGTTGGCATGTTTGCTATATCTGGGACTTCCTGTCTCTCCCTTTAATTCTCTACTTAGACTAGCTCTTGTTTTGCTATGGCAATAAACATGTTAAAAGTATTGTCAGCAGTACTGCCAAGAGAAGGAAAACCCCAGTTCCAATGTTACAAAACTGGCAAGGACAAAAATGTCAGTGGATATTGCATTGTTCCAGACATACAAGAACTGTGTACATTTTTAAAATGACCAGATTTGTTCCAACAGTTTTGGAAGCTGACCCAGTTATGTGCAGCGCAGAAACATGAGAGGCTTGGATGCTTTGACTTAAACCAAATAACCCATCCAGGCATGCTCAGGAAAAGGAGCTTTCAAAATCCAAGCCACTTAATAGTTGTTGGTGCCGGCTGCATGCCCAGAAATCTCTCCCCTGTTGAATTTTTCAGCTGGAATTCTCTTGGATTTTCCTGAAGTACTAAAATGGCCCTTTCTAACTTGCTAACTCTGGCTTGAAAAAGAAAGGCCCTGTTATCTTGTCTCATCCCTCCCTCCACTGCAGAGAGACAGAATGGTTCCATACCTGAGATCAGGGATTGGGATCCTGTGACCCAGCAGAAGTTCATGAACTGCAGCTCCCATATCCCTGATCATTGGTCATGCTAACAGGGGTTGTTTGGAGCTGGAGTCCAGCAATATATTGAGGGTAACAAATTACCATCTCCTCTTAATACAAGGCATTCAGTAAATTAGTTGCTTGTGAGATTGGCTCACTGGTGTCAGCTTCCCCCCTCCCTTTGAACAAAATATGAAACCTTAGATGGAATAATATCTAAGGTAACTTTTCTGCTCTGTCAATGGAAAAACTTATAGAGCTGTATTCAATGCAGTTCAAGGTTAAATTCACTTCATGGTATACTTGTTGTACTGGTGAAATGTCTTGCAGTGCAAGAGAATGCATGAGCAGATTGCTGGTAACTTTGTTGCACAACAGATGGCACAATCTCTTGTGCAACGAGTTTCTGCCAGTGCAGCTGTTGTCTTGGTTTCATCTACTGTTGAACATTAAAATTAACCCATCCACTAGCACAAAAGCCCTTGCAGTAGTGAACGGAGAACACTGGGTACAACCCAAAATTTGCTTCCCCTGTGATGACACGTGACCACTGACCTATGATAGTATCTCATGCATCTTGGTATGCTCATGAACACCAGGGTGGTCTAGGTGGGTCTATTGGCACAGGATGTTCAACAGCTTCCGTTCTGTCCAAGTGACAAACCGTGGAAAGGTCCTATGTGATTACTTCTGCCCATGTGGCTGTAATATTAATTGTGCATTCTGCAGCCGTGTCAGCTGGGACAACAACAGTAGCAGCAGACGGGAGTGCGAAGAAGACCACATTTTGCACATAAATTGTGCTGGGAAGGCCACCTAAGTCCATGTTCCAGTTACAAATCATGACTGTTCTTTTTCACTCCTGCTGAAATCCAGCCTCCATTCCACAAAATGCAAAGCTGGATATTGCTGGTAGACAAGGTTCTAATACAAGCAAGGAATTTTCTTGACGTTCAGCAAATTGCAGCCTCATCCTTTTGGGAAGGGTTCAGCAAACTTGTTGCCTACTGAAATGGCCAGCTGGTACAAGGCCATTTTGTGTGTGTGTGTCCTTTGAATAAAATGAACTGCTTATCAAGCAAAGTTGGGGGGGGCAGAGAGAGAGAATCACAATGGTGCTTTTGTTAACATCTTGTGCTTCTCCACTCCCTTTCCACACACACAATCAACCACCACCGCCGAAATCAAACTCTAGTTTTTTAATGCTCATAAATCGGAAGGAGGCACTGCCTTATACATAAAACAGCTCCTAAATTACCCGCTTTATTCCTCTGATGAGCGGTTTTAATGCTCCAGGCTTCATTTACAGCCAAGCTGTTTGATAGATGATCATTAGATTTGATCTTTTTGGTTGCTACAATCATAATCATCCAGAGTAATGCACCCAATACAAATGTTGGCATTTGCCAAATGCGTATCCATCTGTTCAACGTGCAGCGACGGGGATGGTTGAAAGGGTTTAAGTGCCTTGTAAATGGGTTTATTTGCTGGGATAATTGAAGCACCAAATACATTCTTTTTTTCTGTTCTGCGGTAAGAATTAATGTAAGTGCTAGTGAACTTGTTATAAACCATCAACAGCTGTGTGCGGCACATTAAGGTGTCTATGGGACAAAAATGCCTCCCAAAGAAAGGAAGGCTCACCAACCTTTGATGCAATTTTGTTTTAAAAAAAATCCTAATCATTATGTTTGTGTTGCTGATGGATTGTGTGTGTGTGTGTGTGCGTGCACGCGCGCGCGCGTACACACACACACACACAGGCACTTAAATGCACACACGCACCTTTGCCAGCAGTGATGAGAAACAGATGTGCCAATGAATCAGCCCTTTGTAAACTCACTGTGATTTTTCTGCCTAGATTCATCTGGAGGACGGCAAACCAACGAAACAGGCCAAGTGGTCCTTTGCTGATTGCTACGTTCTGGCCAGAGCTCCCAGAAAAAATTGACGCTGTCTACGAGGCCCCTCAAGAAGAGAAATCAGTCTTTTTTTCAGGTAGGCTTGGCTGGAAGGTGTACAGTAAGCACAGTTTGCAGAAGTATGGCATTCTGTATCCTTTTATTCTGTAGACCATGTTCTTAAATGATAAACTCAGGATGGCTAGGTTGGAGCCCTCCAGTTGTTGTTAGACTGCAACTCCCATCATCCCTGGCCAGTGGCCAAGCAGGCTGGGGCTGATGGGAGATGTAGTTAGGCAACATCTGGAGGGCTATCCCTGACTTAGAGGGGGAAAGTCATGATGCAACACAATTCATGCCATCAAGAAATGCATGAAAGACCTTAAGAAAATTAATAACAGATCAGTATCCTGGTGGTGGGAAAGGGGGCTTTAACTGTTTAACCCATTACAGACCTGTGCTGGAACTTCCTCTGCCCCTTTGCTATGACTGCTGGTTGTTTACTTTTATTATTATTATTATTATTATTATTATTATTATTATTATTATTATTATTATTATTATTTATTATATAGCAAAGTGCTCCTATCTGAAAGTAAAAAAATACAGCAATAATAAATTAAATATAAAAGCACTGCATGCCCTTTTGTGACTCACAAATCAGCTGGTTGTGGCAGCAACTTCCTTCTACCTAATGGTAGGGCTGGACCTGTGACTTGGGCTTTTCATATTTTGCAGCAGCAACTCCCAGCTTGCTGTTAGGATAATGTGAAAAGGACCCCATAGTTCTGGGACAGACCAACAGGCCACTCCCTGTGAAGAGGAATTGACCTATTGTGTTCTGTTTTTGTTTTTCATTTGGTTTCGGGTTTGTTTGTTTCAAAGTATTGTAATTTTTTCTTGATTTTATTATTTTATCTTTTTGTAAAGCGCTTTGAAGGTTTTCCTTTTTAAAAAACATCAAACAGTGTATAAATTTTAAGAAATGAATAAAATAAACCACCAGGAACTGTAGCTCTGGGACACACTCAGCACCATTAAGAAATCTCAGCTCCCAGGATTCTCTGGGGGAAGCTATGACTGTTTAAAGTGGTGTTATAGTGCTTTTAAATATATGGAGTGAATGTGGCCTCATGGGGCAATGAAAGCGAGGGAGAGATTGCATTTCCTCTTGACCATTTATGTGTGTGCCTGTTGATATCGGCTGCAGTTGTGCTGGCTGACCTAGTGGAATTGGGAGGTTGTTGTCAATGTTTTGAATAACTGAGCCAGCAAAAAAGAAAAGTGTGTTGTTATCCATTGCAACATGACTAAACATCTCCAGGCATGCTGAAGGGAAAAAAGGGAGGGAAAACCTATGGCTAGATGCTGCTCAACAATTTCTTTAAAGGGAAGGGGAAAGTCCGATAATGAATTCCACATGGCTAAAGGGCCGCTGAGCTTGGATTCCATGATGAACTGGATGTAGCCAAAACACCTCATTTGTCTGTGTCCAAGCATTACATCCCCACTCCCCCTGTGGGACCGTAGGGTGAAGTAGGGTTTTAAATACTGTTTGCTGAAGAAATTTACCGTAGTTAGCTCACTATATGGAAAAATCCAAAACAATGCAAACTGGCAAATTGCTAAGAGGTCAGCAAGCAAATCTCTGTGTTCCAAATGTTATCAAACTAAAACACCCCCAGTTCTCATCTCAAGAGAGTAAGAGTCATGTGGTGGGCCTTTGCCCAATTTAAAATAATGTACAGGCTAACCTAAAACTAACAAAATGACTTCTTTTTCTTTAAAAAGAATGTGCATGCATAAACATTCTGGTTGCTTGGGCACATGGAAGCTATAAAGTATGTAGGCTATACCAGTAAGATGAAACAATAATGGGTTTGAGTTCTTGGTTTCTGTTTATACCATTTGCAGTGTGGCATCCATCTCTGAACCACTCCTAAAAGTGTAGGCCTCAAGCATGCCGAGTTCCAACTTTTCTAAAGAAACGCTTTTTCCCTGTTGATCACTAGGTCACCACCACATATATTACAAAAGCCACTCCATCTCTTCCTGGAGGGTGACAAAGGGTCAGAGTCAATGTGGCTCACTCTCAAGGAGAGGACTACGCTAACAGCACTACTGAAACTTGAGATCCACCAGGCTGAGAGGGTTTGGATTTGGCTAGTCTTGAGCTTTCCCAGCTCAGCCAAAGCTATACTGGCACAGGGGCAGACTTGGGTCTTTCAGAATTCAGCAGCGCCCTGTGTAAGCCCAGAATTCAGTGCCCTCCCCATGCCTCTCACCTTCCATTCTGCTCAATTCACTACATCATAGTTGTGACGCCCCGCAGTGCCCCTTAGGCTTGGTGCCCAGTGTGGCAGAACCTGTAGCGCTGTACCAAATCTGCCTTTAGCAGGTGTAATTCCCTTACCCCAGCTGAGCCAGAGATATGCTGGTGCAAATCCCTTACCTGGCTCAACTTCAGCCAGTGGAATTTACACCAGTGTAAATCCCCCCAAAGTGCCATTCCAGGGGTGTGGCAGCAGCATGGCAGGGACAGGACAGAGCAAAGCAAAGAGAGACATCTATTCCAAACCCCTTTCAGCTCGGTCCTGTGAGCTAGCAGCCCAATGGATATTAGCCAGCAAAAAGGGTAGTCCAAGTGAAATTCCAACTGAAAAGAGTTTGGGATAGGGACAACTTAATCTGGTGACAATTACATTGGATTTTTTTTAAAAAATTGGGTTGTTCTGTTAATTTCTCTCTCTGGTACACAAACTTGCTGTTGCTTCCAGGTGAGTGTTCTGTTGAGAATTCATCTTGCTTCCTTTGCACAAAGTTTGAAGGGACGTTATATTGCATTATGTTAAGCAATTGTTACCTCATACTTAATTTTGTGACAGCAGTCAAGAAATTAAAAGATGCCTGCTCCTTGGGAGAAAGGCAACGGCAAACCTAGACAGCATCTTAAAAAGCAGAGACATCACCTTGCCAACAAAGGTCCGTATAGTTAAAGCCATGGTTTTCCCAGTAGTGATGTATGGAAGTGAGAGCTGGACCATAAAGAAGGCTGATCACCAAAGAATTGATGCTTTTGAATTATGGTGCTGGAGGAGACTCTTGAGAGTCCCATGGACTGCAAGAAGATCAAACCTCTCCATTCTTAAGGAAATCAGCCCTGAGTGCTCACTGGAATGACAGATCCTGAAGCTGAGGCTCCAATACTTTGGCCACCTCATGAGAAGAGAAGACTCCATGGAAAAGACCCTGATGTTGGGAAAGATTGAGGGCACAAGAAGAAGGGGACGGCAGAGGACGAGATGGTTGGACGGTGTTCTCAAGGCTACCAGCATGAGTCTGACCAAACTGCGGGAGGCAGTAGAAAACAGGAGTGCCTGGCGTGCTCTGGTCCATGGGGTCACGAAGAGTCGGACACAACTAAACAACTAAACAACAACAACCTCATACTTTCCAGTGAATATCCCCCATTGTTTTCCTTACTGGACAAAGTTCAGCTTTTCTGGAAGCAGGTTAGCTGCATCAAAACGCCAAATCCACTTCAGTTGCACAACCTAAATTTGCCAGGATGCAACTGTGTATCCCATTCACAAAACAGAAACACCCCCGAGCCCCAACTTTTGAGCTGGAAAAGTTCTGAAATGAACTTTTGGCTCCTCTCTACCCATTCCCCCTTTAGCTAAACTGTGAGGAAATCTGAGAAGCTCGGATTGAGGTAACCCTTTTCCCTTCCCGTTAACCTCATTTGTAAGTGAGATCATTATTAAACTTGATGCTTTTGTTTTCACAGGAAATGAATACTGGGTTTATTCAGGCTACAACTTGGAAAGAGGTTATCCAAAGAGACTCACCAGTCTGGGTTTACCTCCTGATGTGCAACGTGTCAATGCAGCTTTTAGTTGGAGCAAAAACAAGAAGACCTACATTTTTGCAGGGGACAAATTTTGGAGGTAATACCTTTTCAGCAGGCAACCAGTGGCTGGACACTACAAATGCTGGGCACTTACTCCCTGCTAAGATTCAGATTTCAAGGCATTTTGCTTTTTCTTTGACGGAGACCAGAGCATCTCAGTTGCAGGAGAGTCAAAAGCAGTTTAGATTAGGGATATACAGTTGCTTTGAATGAATCACATGTAGAAGTTGGGGATCTGTGCCTCAACAGAGCAAAACTGAGTTCCTGTGATGCACACAACAAGACAAGATGGGAATTTAGGCTGATCCATAGCTCTCTGTTGACAGTGGCTTAGAGAAAGGATAAATAAATATAAACTAAACCATATGGAGGAAAATGAAACACTTTTATTTCCTTCTTCCCAACCCAACCCGAAATGGCATGGAACCCAGATATGTATTCTATTAAAATTAATGGGCTGCCCACTAAGATTGCAGTCCACAAGCTTCTTCTCAGGCAGAAACCTTTCCCCAGGCTTTCCCAGTGTTACTACAGGCTCATATGAAGCTGCCTGCTAGTGAGACAGACCATTGCATCATCTAGCTCGGGGATAGCTGATGTGGTATGTGCTACCTGTTGCTGGACTCCAGCTCCCATCAGCCTTGACCAGCATGGCCAGTGACCAGGGATGAAGGGAACTCTAATTCAACAACTTCTAGAAGGCACCTATTGGGCTACCCCTGATCTAGGCCATGATAGTCTCTTCTGAGCTGCGGTGATACAGATGGGCTTCGTGGAAGACAGCAGCTTGTGCCATTAGGTATTTGGTATAACTATCACAAAACTCTGCTAATATTTAATATTTCACAGGTACAATGAAGTAAAGAAGAAAATGGACCCTGGCTTCCCTAAATTAATTGCAGATGCTTGGAATGGTGTTCCAGACAACCTAGATGCTGTGTTTGACGTGAGCGGAAGTGGTAAGTTGCCATCTTGTTCCTAGTGTCAGTTGCTGTTGCTGCTGCTGCTGCTGCTGCTGTTGCTTCTGAGGTCGATTGCTCCAGTCTGCTGCATGAATCCTCAGAGACATTCCCTTTGGAGGTGGTCACCAAATCGGCTGATGGCTTGGCGTGCCGCCTGCAGCCGCAGAACAGCTTTTCTCTTCAATTAAAACGTCCCACTGCAGCAAGGAAATTTAGGAAGCCTGACCTTTCCTGAACTTTTCCGGGCTGTCTAAATAACTCATCTCCAGCAGAGTAATCAAAACCACTTTTAATGCAGCACAGATTGTGGTTAAGAACTGCTGCATTCATTGCTGTGCCGGCAACCAAGACTCCCCTTGAACTGAATCTCCTGAATAACTAAAGACCTTTCATGGGGGTGGGAGGAAAGAAAGATTAGACTCTGGTTCAATTTATATCAATTTTCTCCTTTAAAATAATAAAATAAAATAAAATGGTAACTTAAAACCAGAATATATATATATATATGCCGCAAGTAAATACTCAAATAGAAATTCTCAGCATCCCCATAGAATCACAGTTCCCATAAAGCATATTTTATGTGGCTTATGTTTGTACTTCTGAAGCAGCTTAATAATGATTTTTCTTAATTATTATTGTTGGGGGAGGGGGTTTCCTAACCCCACAAGGTGTAACTCAGTGGTTCCCAAACATTTTTGGGCCACCGTCCCATTGGTTCTGTAAACTCATATCCTGTGCTCCCTACCCTATAAAAAGCATTACAGTGGTACCTCGGGTTAAGAACTTAATTCATTCTGGAGGTCTGTTCTTAACCTGAAACTGTTCTTAACCTGAAGCACCACTTTAGCTAATGGGGCCGCCCACTGTCACCGCGCTGCGCTGCCAGAGCAGAATTTCTGTTAAGCAAAGTTCTTAACCCGAGATACTATTTCTGGGTTAGCGGAGTCTGTAACCTGAAACATATGTAACCCGAGGTACCACTGTATTCAGTTTGCATGACCCAGTAACAAAGATAACAACACAATAAATTTCAAAACAGTAAGAATTAATTGCATGTTTGTTCAAAATCCAGTTAAAGCTATTTAGCTTAATTCATTCAACAAAACAGATGAATGTGATCCAGCGATACCAGCTTTTCAAAGTCTGATAGTCCTTTACACCTCCGTTGCCCCACCCCCTTGCCTCTTAGCAGTCTCCTAGGCAATCTCACTGCTCCCCAGGGGACAGTACCACTCATTTTGGGAACCACTTGGTGTAACTGGATGTCACATAGCTTGAAAGCCCCGGGGTTAACTAGTCGTAATAGTTGTTCTAGACCGAACAAAGTTCAAAAGCCTCCAGCCAACTTCAGAATCATTGAGTTGAACCCCTTTCCTTGCTTTGCTGTGATTTTTGTGTTTCCCATAAGTTTGTTTTACATGACAACAAATTGAAAACACTTACTTCTTCTTTACAGGCCACAGCTATTTCTTCAAGGACTGGTATTATCTCAAAATGGAAGACCAGAGTCTAAAGATTGTTAAAGTTGGCAATGTGAAATCTGATTGGCTGGGTTGCTAAGCAGCGTGTCGTCTTAATAATGTCAACTACAGCAAAATCTACACTTTTTTGTTTTTTGTTTTGTAAAAGTCTTATGTCTTACCTGCAATTAGAGATAGATCTGTATGCTAATTCACGGGCCAGTCTGGTACTGGCACCAAGTCACTAAGTACCACTATTTGGCAGAACTTTGTTTTATTATTATTAAATCATTCTGTTTAAGCATATGTACTTAGAAGCAAGTTCCATAAAATGCATGGAATTTCCTTTTAAGTAGATGCATATAGAATCGGGGCACAGTAGGTCTTTGTTTCTTCCTCTCTTCATTCATTAATTTAAGACTTTTGCAACTTTTTGGCATGCAGCAAGTTATGTTTACTTATGTAGCCTGACACTTGCTACATTTTTCTATGTGTGCAGATTGGTGCTAAGGACAGAACAGCAAACTCTGAAGGAATTCTCACCTGAGCAGAGATCAGATGTTTGAATGTGCCTGCATATAAATAAATAAATCCCGCTGTACATTGAAAGCTAGCATTGCAATGAGAAAGCTAGGGTCAAACATTCTTCCTGACATGATAGCTTTCCAAGTACATGGAGGTTTGTTTATGTATATGGGAGAACATTCAAACACTTGATCCCACAGCTACAATCTGAAGTGGTGCCATCTAGCAACAGATACTTCACATGGAACTGCTGATTATGTAACTTAGTTCTTAGTCACTTGATAGTCAATGGATTTCAACAGGTCTTGGTGAGGCCATATTAATGTACACTACTGGAGCCAAAGTAAAATTGTACTGTCTTTCAAAATCCAGCTCCATCCCCCAAAAGAAAATACTCAAAATACTCGAGTACTTGAAATGGTTGTTTGCCATTTAAAACATATCAGTGCCCAAATATCCACCAAGAGGGGCCCTCAAAACTGTAACTTGGATTTCAGAATTAAAATGTTGACACGTGTCCTTTCTCAGCTTGAATGTGTGTTTTCTGTTTTGTTTTTAAACCCAGCTTCAGTTCAAGTTTGCCAAAGGGTTGTATGCAATATTCTTTCTACTCAGAGTTGACCCATTAAAATAGATGTACCTAAGTTAGTCATGACCATTAATTTCAACGGGTCAACTTTGGGTTAGGACTAATGTTGCATCCAAATTATGCTCACTATCTGTGAATAATTCCATTCTTGTCATTCCCTGGAAAACGTCATTCTTTCTTTACATTCGCATTTCTTCACACACCAAAGTGGAAAGACTGACCAAAGGGGCACGGGATGCCTAGGAATTGGTTGGAACAGGATGGGATCAACAGGGACAAACTTGTATGAAATGTATTGCTTTAAAGTACTTTTTACTGGAATGCCTTTACCTTAAATTAGCAAACTGCTTCTTGCACTTTCTTTCCTATTACAACCTCCCCCTCCCTTTCTTTTTATACGGTTATATCAAGGTGATTCCTCTTCTCTTTGGCTTCATTCACACGGCAGTCCATTCCATTTCCCCAGCTGTTAATTTCCACATTATATTTCGGCTTTCACGTAACACAGAAAGCCACCTAAAGAAATACAGTGATATATTCAAGTTTAGCAATTTGCTTCAAGGAAAACAAAATGTTTGCAAATAACACAGAAAGTTGCACAATATTCTGCTGTATTTCCAGAAGTAGCATTTATGTTATGTGAAGGCTTAAATATAATGCAGAAATTAACAGTAAGGAAAAGTGGAATAAATTATTGTGTGAATGCAGCCTCCATCTCTCCCCTGCTCCTTCCTTGTTAGATTTAAAGCATTGGGTGACGCCAAGTGTTCACTGTACAACCTGATGGAATATTTTATGTTCATACAGAAAGATTTTTTTAAAAAGGGAAAGTAAGTCTGCATACATGAAATGTCAGTGGTATAAATAAATAAATAAAAGAAAATAACAGTTCTAGCTCACGTGTTGTCAATTTCTGAACTGATTTGTATTTTGGGGTAATCTGGATAGCTTATTAACTTGCCCAATTCTCATGAAGGTGGTAAAACTGTGCCTGGGCTCACTGGCGGAGGAAGGGGGTGTGGTGGGTGCGCCCCACCCCACGGGTCATCCCTGAGGGTGGGTGACATCACCGCCCTGCCCCATTGGGACGCTCACCGCTCACCGGAGCAGCTAGCTCTGCCTCTGCCTGGGCTATGCCATGTCAGACACTGAAACTGTGACTAACTGCATCAGGTTATACAGTGGTACCTCGGGTTAAGAACTTAATTTGTTCCGGAGGTCCATTCTTAACCTGAAACTGTTCTTAACCTGAGGTACCACTTTAGCTAATGGGGCCTGCTGTGCTGCCCCTGCGCAATTTCTGTTCTCATCCTGAAGCAAAGTTCTTAACCTGAGGTACTATTTCTGGGTAAGCGGAGTCTGTAACCTGAAGCGTCTGTAATCTGAAGTGTCTGTAACCCAAGGTACCACTGTACTATAGTCACCCTTTAAGCCTCAAAAGTGTCTACATAGGCTGGCAGCAGCCCTCCAGAATCTCAGGCGCAGGTCTTTTGCATCACTAAATCTTTTAACTGGAGAGGCGCCAGGAATTGAACCCTGTGTGAGGGTAAGGCTCCTTTAAGAGATTGGATGGAAGACACAGCCAAAAGGATATTAGAAATGAGGAGTGCAGCCAACAGGAGAGAGAGAGTGTGGGTGGGGGGCAGAGAACAAATTGGAAAGTTAACTAAGGGGGAGGTCTCTGGTGCTAAATCACTGTGAAATGTTGGTTGTGAGCATTCAGCTGTTTCCAGCATCACTTCGTAATACAGAGCTGGAGACCCAGGGAACATTCCAAGCATGTACCCTATGCAGAGGCATCTCTTACACCGTTGGCAAGGAGCTGTAACACACACCCTGAAAAAGTCACTTTACTGCAAAAGCAACATTAGAAATTACTACATTTTACCCAACTCAAGTACTCACAAAGTGTCTGGAGCGAGGGTGCGGCAAGGAGGAAAGGTGATAAAAAATCACAAGCCTTTCTCTTGTGCATGATCCCACCATGACAGCAGCTGTGCATCGCTACACAAACACGCACTGTAGTCTTCATACTGCCTTGCCATTTCTCCTACAGCTTAGCTGCTAGCTCTTGTTTAAACTCATGGCCTTTACGCAGATAACTGGAGACAGATTTCTGTGATGATTTTTGCACACCCCTGGCAGGGACTGATTTTGCCAACCGCTAGGTAGGCCTCTGTCTCTACCACTGCCCCTTGCCTGTGCTTAGTCCCAGCATGCTGCCCTATGGTCTGGAATAAATGTATGTACAAAGGTAATTATATAGGCATGATTCCACCTAACAGTCTAGAGATCAAGGAACTGCTCAGTTTCCTTTTTGCCCTCACTTTCCTTTTTACATGGAAGAGCTATTGCAAGGATGAGGAAGCTATGCCCCCTGCCTGGCCAATGGCCGGAAATGGTGGAATTTGTTGTCCAGCGATATCTGGAGAGCCACGGATGCGCTTCCTCTGCTCTGTTGGGCTTGCCTCTGGTTCATTCTTACTTGCTAGACACTTGCCAGCTACCTCTGAATGGCAGGAAATTCAGGGCAGCCTTTCTAAAGTCAGACATCTTTGAAATGGCATTAGTCAATATGCAATGGATGTTTAGTGAGTTTAACTGCTCTCGTTTATGAATGGGGTGGGGTGAGAAACCTGGGGCTCTCCAAATGTTGGAATCCATCTCACATCAGCCCCGGACATCATTTTGTGACTAATGGTCAGAGAATTATGGGAGTTGTAGTCCAGTAACATCTTGATGGACACAGGTTTCCCACCCCCATGGGTTAGGGAATTTTGCTTAAGACTACACAATGTTGTAGTGGGTTGAACCACAGAGCCTAGGATTTGCCGATCAGAAGGTCGGTGGTTCGAATCCCCCTGATGGCGTGAGCGCCCATTGCTCGGTCCCTGCTGCTGCCAACCTAGCAGTTCGAAAGCACATCAAAGTGCAAGTAGATAAATAGGTACTGCTCTGGCGGGAAGGTAAACGGCATTTCAGTGTGCTGCTCTGGTTCGCCAGAAGCAGCTTAGTCATGCTGGCCACATGACCCGGAAGCTGTACGCCGGCTCCCTCGGCCAATAAAGCGAGATGAGCGCCGCAACCCCAAAGTCGGTCATGACTGGACCTTACGGTCAGGGGTCCCTTTACCTTTACCTTTTACACAATGTTGTGCAAAAATTTGTATGTAGCATAGCTTTTCCAGGCTATGTACACACTCTCATTTACTCTGCAACTAGCATGCTCCCACTACTGGTTTGGAGAGCCATATACAACAAACCAATAGCCACGATCTGTATCTAGCCTGTTGTTTCTTATGGAGTACTGCATTTAGATGTGTGTTCCCACAAACCAGCTCTGAACAGAGAAAAAATAATGGCACAGCTGCATCTAAAACTGGTAATGTGTGTGCAGCGCCAGGCCTTGTTAAAAACAAAAACAAATAAACAACCCTCTGCCGGCCAGATCATCCCTTGTTTTCTCTCCATGCCAGCCACCTTGAAGGATGCAAAGATAGTAGTACAGAGAAGAACAATGGCATCACCTTCCTAAAACCCAATTTACAAAGAGCAGCAATCCCATAAAACACAACCGAACTTTCAGGAAATCTCTTAACAGCTCATAGTTGTCCCGTGCAAATGCCTCAGGGACATCTCTGAAGGGAGGAAACAGACTTGTTCCAGACAGTGACTAACTTGTTTGGCCATGAGGGCTCTGTCAGTGGAGCCAAAACAAACCCCAACTTTAAAAGAATAATTAATCTGAGCATACATTGGCCCGGAATTTGGTAATGTGACAAAGCAGTTGTTCTAATGCAGGAGGTCTGCTTCTTTTGCAAAGCAAGCATTTCAAAACCCTGGGATTAGCCTTGTGGGCCAGGGCTTTAGTTTTCCACATTCTAGAGCTAAGAGCTGAGAGACAGCTTCACCCATGAGCAAAAGGCAAGGCAAGTGGAGGTGGCCAGCCCTGAGAGCCGCTGAAAGAGGCATGAATCCATCAACTGGATGGGCCCACAACAGATTTGCTATGTTGTGTGTGCATTTCAGACCATATTCACCTAAGAGAAATCAAGCAAGTCTGGCTCTCTGAAGGATGGAACAGACCTTCTTCAAAACCATTTCTCCTCCCAGAATGTTGATGCTGATTATTTCCCAGGTATTCACTGACTACTCCGGTACTGAATGATTTGGGGCAAAAATAAACCTGATTGCTTCTGGAACAGAAATTCTATTCTCTTTAATACTTTTTTATTAATTTTAACATACAAAAATTTTAGACATACCACACAAATTATTTTACATATATCCTTATTTGGACTTTCTTCAGCATCTCTGATAGCCTTCCGTCTTAATTATTTCTCCTGCAATTCTTAACTTAATATTGCCTTTACATTTTCCAACAAAACATTTCTTCCTTTCCATTTTTACAATATTTCTTAAATTACTCCTCACAGAGCTTCTTGTAATCCTACAAACATAATGTGATCATCGCAAATACTTTTCAGATATTCAGTAAATTTAGTCCAGTCTTCAGTAAACTTCTGATCTCGCCGGCCTCGGATCCTTCCTGTTAGCTTGTCTAATTCTGTGTAGTCCATTAATTTCATCCTCCATTCTTCTAATGTTGGTAATTCTTCTTGCTTCCATTTTTGGGCCAATAGTATTCTTGCTGCTGTTACTGCATTTAAAACAACTTACAGTCTTTCCTTTTTATATCATTTCCAACAATACCTAAAAGAAATGCTTCTGGCTTTTTAATAAAAGTATATTTCAACATTTTTTTCAACTCATTATATATCATCCCCCAGAAGCATTTCACTTTTTTACATTCCCACCACATATGATAAAATGATCCTTCTTTTTCTTTACATTTCCATCATTAATTGCTAACTTTATACATTTTTGCTAACTTAACTGGCGTGATGTACCATCTATACATCACCTTCATCACGTTTTCTTTCAATGCATTACATGCAGTAAATCTCAAACCTTCTTTCCATAATTTGACCCACTCACTTAATTGAATATTATATTCTAGATCTTTTGCCCAATGAATCATAACTGATTTTACCTCCTCGTCCTTCAAGTGCCACTCCAGCAGTAGTTTATACATTTTTGACAGAATTTTAAAATCATTATTTAATATTTCTTGTTGAAACCTCGATTCTTTTTCACAGAAACCATTTTCTTTGATACCTTGTTTAAACACTTCGTTCACCTGATAATAATGTAACCAATCATTAGCATACTGTTTCACTTCTTCATGTGGCTTTAATCTCCATTTTCCTCCTTCTTTAATTACTAATTCCCTATATGTTATCCATCTCCCACTCATATTAACCTTTTTTACACACATCATTTCCAATGGAGACAACAAATGTGGTGTTTTTTGTTCCAATAGATTTTTATACTTATCCCAAATTTCAATAAGAACAGAACAGAAATTCTAGTCAACATACTAGCCATCTCTTGCTGAGGCTACTGCAGTCTTCTTAACATTTATAGCAGACCTTTCCAAACTGTGTATAGCGACATGTTAGTGTGTTGGCTGCAGTGTGTAGGTGTGTCACATGAATGCTCTCCGTGCTTCTCCTAGGAATGGAAAGGGGTTGTCCCCAACATAAAAGTTTGGAAAGCTCTGGTTAATAGAGTTAGGCTTGAGTTTTCAACCCCAACTCTGTTGTGATCTGATTGGACTGACTTGGACCAACCTCTTCCTCTTGAGCCTCAGCCTACACATCTGTAAAATAGGATGAACCAGAACCTTAATAAGTTATGGATACACAGCTTAGGTCCAAGCTAACTGAAAGATCATATTCCCTCACATGAACCTGCCTTGATTTTCAGGTGTTCAAAGGAGACTCTTCTCTCAGTCCCACTGCCCTCACAGGAACACTTGGTGGGGACACGGAGAAGGT